TTTAAAACTTATTACTTTCTTTGAATTTGACATCATTGGTAGCTGAGCTTATAGATTTGCTATTGCTATTATCGTTCATTGAACCACTCCAGAAACATTTATAGAAAGCTAGTCCTGAATGACATGGATTACTTGTATGAAGACATAGGGTGAATATGAGAAAGATATCTTTGGAGAATGGCAGGCATATGTCTATAGTGAAGTCTTTGTGTTAGGGAAAACCATGAGATGGGTTTGGAGATAACTGAATTTGCATAATTAATTGGTAAGTTTTGAGGATTAGAGAATGGGAAAGAAGGTGCTAAGGGAGGGTTAGGTAAATAGTAATAACTAGAAGGCCTCACTGCTAATTTTGCAGTATCTAGCTTTGTTATAATGGTGATAGGAAAAATGATCAAACTCTGGTTTCTCTGGGACAGCGCCAGTTTAGTCCTGATGTCCTCTTTATAGTACCCCTTTCACTCCCCCAAACATCTGCTTTTATTCTGAAAAGGCTTAAAGGCTTGGATGATAGGTGATATGGTCTTTCCGTTAATAGCAAACCATGAAGATCATGTATGGCTGCTGAGGGTTACCTATGGAGAAAATATGGAACGAGACTTGGTAGAGAAGTTAGAATTTGAGCCCTTCAGATTATTATTCATCTTACTATGTAATAGAAATACTTTGAAACTTGAATAATCCTTACGCCAGCCTTAAGATTTTAAAAGCCTGTGAAAATCAGAATACTGTTCTTTACTGGATTAGCTACGGCATGAGGGAAACGTTTTACATGCTTCTGATTCAGATTTTACAAAATCATTCAGATTAGCCCTTCTCTCAATTACTTCTTTCTCAGTGCCTGTCTCCTCCCAAATCACTTGTCTATTATTTCACAACTCAGGTAGGTAACTATCAATTAATCCTCAAAGTAAGATAGTTATTATCCTTATTTTGTAAATCTGTTATTTGAGGAATTTTTCATTTTTTTAACTTAATACTTATATAACTTTGGGTATATTAGTAACAGATACATTTAGTTCTGAGTGCAGTAAAAGCATGATTTCACCAACATTCACCTCATTTGTAACCCACAAATAGTTGCACATTTTTTCCAACAGTATATTTTGAGGAAAAAAGGCAAACCATTTAAGAAATTAGCTTATATTAAAGATTTATTCAAAAAGAAAGCTCTTAGAGTTTTGTTAGAGTTTAAACTAATTCTTTTGTCTCTTGTTACTCTACATTTTCAGAACTAATTGCCAAAATCATATTTTAGTCCTAAACAATGTAGAACCAAATTAAGATAATATACTGCATTATGTATATACATAATGTATATATAGTGGCTGAGGTTATCACAAAAAAGTCTCCCTTCTATTATTATTATAATTGCTTTCTTTTAATCCAGAAAGCTTTAAATTTTGCCATTATTGTTCAAAATTTTAGGAATAATCTGTTAAAATTTCTATGTATTTACATACAATAGAAGATTTAATCAGAAATGAGTTGAATAACATCTGTGAGGGCAGTAGTGTGATGATGAAACTTTGTTTGACCTTGAATAACAGTCATGTGTCCAAATTAAGAGGAGTAGTCAAAGAAATTTATTATGGAGAAAGTGGCAGAAATTTAATATTTGCAAATTAGGACAATAAAATAATTAAACCCATGTTGACATTTGCAACAATAAATATTGTAACTTCTGAAAATCATGTTAAAAAAATGTATGGGTTTATGATCCAATATTACTTTCATTCACCGAGTGAACCCATTAGAGGTGGAAGAGGACAAACAGTACTGCCACTGAAACCTCCACATGTCCTAGGTATCCTGGACTAGTCCATTTGATCTCTCCATCACCCACATTCTTTATTCTTTGGTAATTTGTATTTGCTCTTTTCTTTTTGTTTGATCACTGTAGCTAGAGATTTATGAATTTTATTGATAATTCTCAGAAAACTGGATTTTGGCTTTGTTAATTTTCTCTATTGTTTTTTATTCCATTTATTTTTGCTCTTTAATGTTTCTTTCCTTCCACTTGTGTTGGGTTTATAGTACTTTGCTCTTTTTTTCCTAGCTTCTTAAGGTGAAACCTTCGGTAATTAATTTTAGACCTTTCCTCTTTTCTAATATAAACATTTGAAGTTATAATTTCCCTTTAAACGTTGTTTTAGCTACATCCCACAAATTCTCATATGTTGTATTTTCATTGTCATTCAGTTCAAAAAGCTTTCTAATTTTTCTTGTGATTTCTCCGTTGACCCATGAATTATTTAAATGTGGATTACTTAATATCTGTATATCTGTTTCTTTCTAGATATCTTACTGTTGGTTAAATTCTAATTTAATTCTGTTGTGTTCAGATAAATGTATTCTTTGTGATTTCTGCTTATGAATTGACACTTTCATCGTCATGAAATATCCATTTTTATTTTGGGTGATATTCTTACTTTCTGAAGGATAGTAATATATTTCAGTCTTCATATGCTTACTGTTTGCCTGATGTATGTATTTCTAGCCTCATTTTCTTTTAACCTATCTGTATCTGTATATTAAAAGTACATATTTTGTACATAGTACATGGTTGTGCTTGTTTTTTAGTTCATTTGATAAGTTCTACCTTTTAATTACTATTTAGTTTATTAATATTTAATGTATGTATTTATATGGTTAGCTTTAAGCCTCCCATTTTATTTTATTTTATATTTATACCCTCTTTTTTGTTTGTTTCTTTTTACTTCCTTTCCAGTCTCCTTTTGGAGTAAGGAATAAAGAATTCCCTTTTAATTCATCTGTTGGCTTTTTAGCTATGCTTTATTTTTCTTCTTCCTTTTTTTTTTTTTTGTTGACGTGGTTGCTATAAAGTTGTAATATTTGCCCTTACCGTTTCATTCTGCTTAGAGATACTACTTCACTACTTCATGTGAAATATAGAAACCTTATAACTGTATAGGTTCATTTACCTGCCCCATAATTTATTATATATAGCTTATATGTATTATATCTATCTTCATTATATCTTTACTCCCTGTAACGAAACATTATAATTTTTACTTTAAGCACTTAGATGTATTTTTAATAAATTAAGGGAAAATAAACAGTTTTCAATATTTGTCCATATATTTACTTTTTCCAGTGGCCTTTATTCCTTCCTAAAGGTCCAGGTTTCCATCTGTTATAATTTCTCTTCAGCCTGAAGAACTATCTTTGGTATTTATGGTCTGCTGTTGATTATTTTTCAGTTTTCCTTTATCTCATAAATGTCTCATCAATGCACGTCTGCTGTTTATTATTTTTCAGTTTTCCTTTATCTCATGAATGTCGCTATTTTACTTTCATTCTTGAGAGATATTTTTGCTGGATATAAAGTTCTGAGTTGACTTTTTATTTTCTTTTTGTTCCACTGTCTTCTGATCTGCATTGTTTCTGTTGAGAAGCCAGTGGCAATAATTTGTATTACTGCTTCTCTGTATTTAATGTGTTGTTTTTCTCTGAATATTTTCCAGATTTCTCTTCACCTTTAGTTTTTATAAGTTTGACTGTGATGTTCCTGATCACAGTTTCTTTATATTTACCTTACTTGGGGTTTGTTGAACTTCGAGAATCTATAAATTCGTCTTTCACTAAAGTTTTGCCACCACTTAAGAAAATTGTTTTCTGCTACATTCTCTATCTTCTTTACTTCTGGGTTTAAATAAACATGTTAGACATTTAAATCTTGTTGTACCAGATTTAAAATCTGTCTTTTTTTTTTTTCTTATTAACAATCTTTTTTCCTCTTAGTTCTTCAGATGGAATAGTTTTGATTGATTTATTTTCAGGTACAGAGATTCTTTCCTTTGTTATCACCAATCTGCTTTTAATCCCATTCAGCATAATTTTAATTTCAGAGATTGTATTTTCAGTTATAGAATTTATTTTTTTCTTTTTCTCGTTTTCTGCTGAGATTGCTTAGTTTTATATTTATTACAAACATAGTTTAACTTACTGCTTTAAAATCCTTGTCTGCTAATTTTGACATCTGGCTCATCCTCAGTTTTAGTCTTTATGTACTATCTTTTCTTTTAAAAATGAAATACATTTTTCCTGTTTCTTTGTATATCTAATAATGTTGGATTTTTTCCTGGACATGGTGAATACCACATTGTGAATACAGTTATATTCTTCTGAATAATATTGATTTTTGTTTGTTTGTTTGCTTTTTGTTTTAGGAGGAAATTAACTTGGTTGGATTAAAATTGCAAAAATGTTATCTTTCTGAGAGAAGCTGAAATTTTGGTTCAGTGCTTTTATTCTACCTGGCACAGACTTGGGCTTGCCACAGAATGGAAGCTAATAAAATTGGTTACTTTCTCATTGCTGTTTCGTTTTTCCAAGCTCTCTACAGAGTCTATCTGCTTTTGGTCACTCTCCGGTGCCTTTATGTAGTTTTGTTTTTTAAATTGTTATCTCTAAGATTATCAGTTTGATAAAGGCTTTCTTGTCAATACTGTAATAAGGACCTGACATCATTGCTTCTTAGCACGTAATGTATCCTACCTAATATTATCATTCACTTTATACAAAGAATTAGCTGGATTAGAGTGGGTAAATAGTTTTATTGGAACAATTAGAAATGAGAAATAAGGTTAAATAGATACAGAAGCAGTGATTGTAGGGATAGGGAAAGCCCTATCCTTGTGGATTAGATTAGATACATCTGATTTGTCATATTATCTGAGGAGACTTGAATAATTAAGATTTGATTTGAACCTTTAAGACTTTCACTTGAGAACGCTTTTTGACTGTACCTTAATTTCCTAAAAAAGTTGGCAACATATATTTCCCTCATGTATCAGTTTTACTTGAGAGCACTGTTTCATAAAGAGTCATATCCAAATGCTTGCTTTACACAGTTATTTAATTTCTGAGTTCATAACTAAAACTAAGTACTTTTTAAAAGATAACTTTAAAGGATATTTACATTTTATAATACAAAATATACACTAAATTTACATAATAAAATTTGCTTACTGTAGGTCCAGGTCAAGACCTCGTCCACGTTCCCATAGTCGAAGCAGTGAAAGGTCCAGTCACAGAAGAACCCGTAGTCGGTCTCGGGATAGAGAACGACGTAAAGGCAGAGACAAGGAGAAAAGAGAAAAGGAGAAGGATAAAGGCAAGGACAAGGATATCAAACGTGGGTAAGTTGAGGCAGATCTTATGCAGTGATGACTCAATGATTCCATGGCAATATTCAAACTAAATTTTTGTTCTTTCATTTCCACCCTGTGGCTATATTGCTATAACTGTGGAATGTGATTTTTAAAAATAAGAATACAGTAGAGAAAGAAGAAAGGATAAATCAAAATAGTTATCTCAGATTTTTACTGTGGTACATTTTCATCTCTATTTTCATTTAATAATAATGTAACAAATCTTAGAAATACAGCGTAAATAGCAGTATCAAAGTTTACTATGTAAGTAAAGAAAAATTTAAAGGAAAATTTACATAATTCATTGGGTAAGTGCTACATTCTATTTCTTTTATCATGAATATGAATTTAAAGTTTAGTTAATACTTAATTATTAAAGATATTCAGTATAGAATGGAACTTGGGGCAATTTTAGGGTGTATGTGTTAGAGTGAGTGTGTCTGTATGTGAGGTCCAGAATTTTTTTTTATGTAACCAATATTATTAAAAAAATGATTCTAGTTCTGTCCATTTGAAGGTTGAAGTACACTTATAAGTGTTTGCCAAGTTAGAAGATGTTAAAATGAAACAATCTTGTTTAGTAGCTTAAATTTTAGCCTCTTGTTTGTTTTATTCAAAATTGACAATAGGGTATTTATTCTTTGAAGTCTGCCATCTTGGAATTTATCCCCTTTTGTCAGTTTTTCAATATCCTGTATGAATACATTTACTTTAATACTTTGGTATAAAAGTCTTTATTTTAATGTATCAGTTTTCAGTGTTAAATTGAAGAGCTTACCAGGATCTTGGATTTGGCTTTTTGAGATCTTGATTCTATGAAGAATTGAGTTTGTTAAAGGATATGAAATTCTACCCTCATCCCTTTCTTTTTCACAGTTGTCTGTGTGTTTATTTTTTATTTCCAGATTTACAGTGATGTTATATATACCTGCCTAGATTGTTGGTTTTTAAGTATTCTTTGAAACATTAAATTTGTGGTGGAGTTTGGAAAGGATAACATTGTTCTGTGACTTTTTTTCTTCTGTTCACCCCACATTCCTTAGTATACATTAAATAGTCATGTTCCTGTAAAATTCTGAGTTCTGTCCTTTTCTAGTATTAAGGATTGTTGAATGTTACAGAAGATGATGTAGGGGTTGGATATTGGGCCATAAGGATAGGGAGGCTAAGTTAGCCAGAGTTTAGTAGACTAGAATGAGGGTCAGACAGGATATAGGGGAAATCTCTTGGTAAAGGGATAAAGTCAGAAGGATGATAGACTGAGATTGGAAAATATGGATTAAGAGGATGAATAAAATATGCCAGTCAAGGAACTGCCTTTTTGTTCCTTTTTACATTTTTTCTTTTGGTTTAGATTTTAGATATTACATGGCTATGGAGAATATGATTATGATTTTTATTGGTCATTAAGTTTGCTTTCTATCTCACCAAATTTTACTTTTTTAGAATAATATTTATGCAATTGCATAAAATTGATATTATATAAAGCGTTATTTGGGGAATTTTAAAAGTAAGAAAAAAGAGTGAATAAAAGAGGGAGATGTGGTGGTTTCAAGAAAGGTTCTCATATGGTAACATTAATCTTGAAGGTTTAGGCCAGCTTTACAGGTTAGACTCGTCTGTCACTCAGAATTCATTGAGTCAAGTGGACTAATTTCTAGATGCCAGGTTCACAAGATAATATTGTTGTATTTGTCTTTCTTTCTTTCTTTTTTTTTGGTGGGTGACTGGTACAGGGATCCGAGCCCTTGACCTTGGTGATATAACAAGGTCTAACGAAGTGAGCTAACCAGCCAACCCCTTGTCATTACTTAACATTAATCTTAACAAAGGCGGTGAACAGTCAAAAGAGGTATCAGTTGAAGGGCTCTGGTGACTGATGACAGAATCCTGGTAGTCTGATTCAGTCATTTCCATGGTTTTAGTAGACCATAATACAAGGTGGTTTTGTGTCAGGTTACCTTTTCCCTCGGTTAGTGCTAACCATACACTAATTCTTACCCTCGGTATGATCTAAAAATCAGGCTTTTTTTTTTTTTTTTGGTCAGAGTGTTCATTTAATATAGTCGTATTTATTTATATATGAGGTTATTTCAAAAAGTTTGTGGATAAATTGTATTAAAAGAGAATACAAATCTTTCCGTGAACATTTTGAAGACCCCTTGTTTGTACAGATTTGTTACAGAAATAATTTATTATTTTTTAAAGCTTACATGTTTATTTCCTAAACCTGATTTTTAATCCATTCCAGACTTCTCCTCTTTTGTATCACTCTGAGCACCTAATATACATGCTAGTTTCTAATAAATATTTATTGATTATTTATGAAATATAAGCATTCATTGATTTGTTCACTTGTTCAGACAACAATATTTAAATGCCTTCTGTTTGTCAGGTACTATGCTAGGTAATACAGACAATGTTAGTGCCAGTACTATTTGGAGCTTTCATGCGTGTGGGAAAATAAGCATACGAAGAGGGAAAGATATGCAAGTAATTACGGCAAAGTCAGATGACTGTTTCCAGTAGGAAAAGTAAAAGGAGTTATGGAAACATCCTATCAGTTAGGATACTCTTGGCCATAAGTAACAAAACCTAACTAACAGTAGCTTAACCTAGGGGTCAGCAAACTATTTTGTAACGAGCTAGATAGTAAATAATTTAGGCTTTCTAGGCCATATGGTCTCTATTGCAACTACTGAACTTTGCAGCCATAGATAGTATGGGCAGCTGGCTGGATTTGGCTCAAGAGCTGTGGGTTGTCATTTGTTAGTGTCTGGCTTTAACTGAGTACACTTACTCTAAATGTAACAAGCAGTTTAGAGGTGAGCTTTCCCTGGCCGTTTTTATCCTTCTAATAGGCTGGTCTCAGCATGTTGTCTTTCATCTTCAATCTTGACACATTCTGATTGCAAGATATCTCCCTGAATATTATGCTGGTTGATCTAGAATAGTCCACGTGTCAGGGAAGGGCTCTCAGAAGAAGCCATGTTTACACATGAAGGAAGCAAGAGAGGGGGAGGAATGTCCCATGCAAAATGAATTTTATATGGGAAGGCTTGGAATCAAGCAAAGGGATATGGCATATTAGAGGAACTGAAGTCTAATGGGGCTTAGTTTAGAGTATAAAAGGAATAGTGAAGAGAGATGATTATGGGAGGACCTTATATTATATTATGGAGTTAATTATGGAGTTGCAGTTAATTCTAAAGGCAGTAGAAAGCCAATGAAGAGTTTCAAGTAGAGAAATGTTATGATCAGGTCTATATGGGTGTAGACCAAATGCTTTACTCACAGTGGCATGATAAACATCTAACATTTAAAATGTATTTTCTCAGTGTCAGGAGTTTTGCTAAGCAGTTGACATGTATTATCTCATGTAATAACCTCATGAAATAGGTGTTTTTATTATCCCATTAATACAGATGAAGGTGCTTAGGCTTATGATCACAGAGCTAATAAATGGCAGTTAGACTTCTAATTCAAGTTGAGTGACCATAACACCTTGACTCTTAACAGTACACTATCCTAACTTCTTTAGTAATCCATAATTATTGATGATGAGAGACAGGGTTTGAGATCAAGTAATATGCTATTGTTTAAACTTTGCTAGGAAATAGCTAAAGAGAACTGAAAGAATTTTCTATGGCTATTTTTCTTTTCTCAGTCCAGAGATCTGTCATTATTAAAAGACTGATTCTTTCTTTTCTCCCTTTCTTTCCTACTTTCCCACCTCAGCATTTCATCCATTTATTTAGAATTATATTTAATTATATTCACAAACAATTTCTAGGCCTTAATTAAATTTGTTTTAATGATGGTTTTATTAGCTGCATCTTTCTAGATGGCTTTTAAAAAACGTGTGGGTGGAAATACAGGAATAAAGATTCTCAAACATTTTAATCAGGACTGTATTGTTTCATTGTGATCGTGCAACCCATTGACAAGTGTCTTAGCTTATGCTAAATAACCTAGGTGCTTCTTCACATATGAAAAAATAACCCATGTACTTCTGGTTCTTCATGCACAAGAATCTTTGTTTTATCAAATCAATTTGAAAATATCAATATTGCATACATAGAACATGAAACTTACATTTACAGAACACAAAGTAGGAGGAGTAAGTACAATAACGGTAAAGCAAGATGAGTATTTTATAAATTGGGGGAAAAAGGAGAGAAAGGAATGCTCAAGCAGGAATTAATGAGCTTAATAACAAGGAAGGACTTTTTCATTAAATTTTCGAAAAAAAAGATATGAAATTAGATAATTCTGAAAAAGCTTTTTCAAATAGCAGCTAATTATGGGTCTGGAAATTCTTGGAACATTGAAATGATTATAATTAGAATTTGTCTTATGTCATAAATTGACCTATTCATTTTGTTAATCTACTGATTTAGGGAGACCTAATATAATTCAGAAGGGTATCTGGAGTTTGCAGAGACTAAAAGATGCCTTTTTTACAACACTGTATGAAATATATGTGTGTGTGTGTGTGTGTGTGTGTGTGTGAAAGATACTGAATCTTGTCTTAGATTTTACCTGTGTGTGTGTGTGTGTGTGTGTGTGTGTGTGTGTGTGTGTGAAAGATACTGAATCTTGTCTTAGATTTTACCTTCTTACCGAAGTTCGCATACCTGAAACTGACTCTGGTCCATTCCCCCACTCACACAGCTATTTTACCAGAAAAGTTTAATGACTGTAAGTTTTAATATTCTATATTTATAAAGCTTGACTTCTAAGAATATTTTATCTTTTAAACATTGATACAAATTTTTCTTGTTTCTGTTCATTTTTCCCCCTAATTTTGAAAACTTGAAATATTTATCTTCTCCTTACACAATTCTATTTCTTTGTTGTTGTCGTCGTTTGCCTATCAGATCTTCTTCTCGATATATGCAGTATAACTCCCTAATTTTGAAAACTTGAAATATTTATCTTCTCCTTACACAATTGTATTTCTTTGTTGTTGTCGTCGTTTGCCTATC